GAGCGCGGGTCCCTCTCCAGCAGGCGACGCGCGGCCTCTCTCTCCGGCCCGCCTTGTCCGATCCCATTACCCTCCTGACGGCGAGCCTGAGCATCGCCGTGACGGGCAGCTTGCACAGGCGAGCCGTCCAGTCTTGGCAGGGAGGGCACCGGTTGGCAGCCCAGCCACGAGGGACCCGGGGTGGCACCCGGCTCTGTTTTGGCACCCTGATGACCCCTCTCTTCCCTGCCCTTACCCCATCCTCAAGGCTACCATTCTCTTCCCCCCCCCTCCCAGAAACACACACGCACACATACAGCCAGAGAGAGAGAGAGAGAGAGAGAGCAGTAGGGATGAATAGCCATCAGGGGGCCAGTCCGCACCAAACCCCCCCCTTTCCAAGTGTCACTTTAGCTTTGATGCTGTGCATGCAGGAAGGGAATCCAACCCAGCTGTTCCTCCCGGGCTGAAACATTGCCAGTGGCCCAAATAAACAGCTCTTTACTCGAGCCAAGGAATGAGGGCCTGGAGAGATATCTCTCACGCACACATTCATGAGAAAAGGAGATCTTCACCGCCCTCCCCCTCCTGATGCACTAGAATGAGAAGCTACCCCTTTTTCCCTTCCTCGTTTATTAGGATGCAGCAAGCTCTCCTGGCCGGATCTCCGCTCCAGGGTGGACCTGCGGGACCAGACAGTGGCTGCTTTAGAACAAGGGCTTTTAAAACTCAGAAGCCCCGGATGGGTTGCTTCTATCTTTTTGACCCAAGAGCCCTTCTCGGCTTGCTCCAAGAGCATGCACACGCTTAGCTTCACTAAAAGGAGCAGCAGGTTTTTATGACACACAGAGATTTGGGGGGAAGTGAATGGGGTGGGAGGGGAGGGTTTGTGAGGTCATTCTGCCACTGGTGGCAAGAAACTGCCCCCCCCAACGGGTTTCACAGGCTCGTTTTCACATTTGTCCTGAGACCGACCGGCACCCTTGCCGTCCAGAGACTCACCCCGTTTCGCCCCGGCCTGCTTGATCCTCCACACGGTTTTGTAGATCTCAAAGTTGTAGTTGGCCGGCAGCACTGCCGCGGCCGCCTGGAGTTCTGGGTCCGACAGGATCTCCGGAGGGATCTGGTGAGCTACTCGGCGGGGCGCCCGGCGAGCTGCAAGAGAAGGGGGTGAAGGAGGAAGAGAAGCAGCCGGGGGGGTGAGGAGCCGTCACCCGCCGAGGGACTCCCCCCCCATCCCGTGCCCCTCTCCTCAACCCTTGATCTCAGAAAATGGGTCGTGCGCACCCCGCGTTGAGGAAAGGGCCCCGTGCAGGCAGTCTGCGGTTCGTCCAGAGCGAGACCCGGCGTAAACCGGCTGCTCCTTGGCCCTTCCTTGGCAAGACAACACAGCGAGAGGACCGAGCGAGAACCGGGGACCAGGACTTGGGGGTCGGGAACACTGTGGTTCTTCTCCCCAGCCCATCCATAAAGCTTTGTTGGTGGTGGTGGGGGAGGTGTTGGGACAGGCACGGTCTTTCTGCCTGCCCTCACCTCACAGGGTTGTCGTGCGAGTAACGTGGAGAAGGAAGAAGCCTTCTTCCCTTCAGAGAACTGTGGCATAGAAAGAGAGGAAGAATCCTCATCGGGCGGGGGGGGGAATAAAAACTCCAGGGCGGGACCAGGCTGCGTCCTCAAGAGCATCCCCTTCGGTGAAGGGGCAAAGGACACCCAAAAAGGGATTTCTGGAAAGCCGTTCCAGGGGAGGGACACCAAAACCACAGAAGGGAAGCCGCCTCTCCCGCCGCCTTGTCTGGGCCTCCCTGGGGGATCCGAGAGGCTCCTCCAGCCGTGGCCCCACACCTGGGTTGGCGTTCACCCCCCCACTCCTCCTGTGCCGATCCCCCCCCCCAGGGCCTGGTGGCAGTGGCAGCAACAGCAGGGAGAGGCTAAGAGGGAGAGAAGGGTGGGTGCCCGGCGCACACACACACACACACACACCAGGGAGGGGCCAGGAGGGAGAGAGAGAGAGAGAGTTGTCGTCCAGGACCACCAGGTGGGCGCTGACGCCTCAATGACAGCCATCATCATCATGCCAGCTTGCTGTTCTCACACTCGCAACGCCCTTTTTTAGCACCCACGTGGCGTTGTGTGAATCAGCGCCAGCTCAGCTCAGCAAGGCGAGGCTCGCCCGGGTGGGGTGTGAAGAAGGGAGGTGGTTCGGGGCGGAGGTCCGATGGTCCTGGGGGCTACGGGGAGTGTCCCCCCGAAAGAACAGTCGCGGGCGGCGGTGCTGTGAGCCAGGCTTTGTTCCCCCCCCACCCCCCCCGCCGCGCCAGGGGGGGGGGGAGAGAGAGAGCAGTGGGCACAAGCGGGCCCTCGTGCTCACGGGCAAGCTGTCACGCAAAGAGAGGGACAGGCGCCAAAGGATGGGGGTGGAGCCGTCCTGTCCCGTCCCACCCCCCCCCCCGTCTCCCATTGACTCACTGCCTGGCCTGGGTGGCATCTCATGGGGGCACACGCACCCCCCCACTCCTCCCTCTCTGCCTCAGTTCCCCAACAGGCCAAGAGAGGACTCGATCCGTTCAAGGTCTCCCATGAAGATTCGCAGCCGAGTCTTCTGGACTGGAAGCTCCTTGGGGCAGGAGCCTTTTGTCTTTATGTACACCTGGCAGCCGCTGAGGTTTCCGTAGCATCAATAACAGTAACAATAACAGCCTATTGTTAACAATCACGGTAAGGAACATAAGAGTTTTCAGCTACAGAGCCTCCAGGCCTTCTGGACTACCAAGCACCTCATCCCCTGCCAGCAGGGCAGATGGGCTTTCCTGCAGTGCCCGGACACCTTGAGGACCACCTTCCACCTGGCAGATGCAGGGGGGGGGCTGGGGGTGTCACCGAGCATTTCCTTTCCAGGTTGCCATCCCGGCAGCCCGGCAGCTCATTTAGTTTCTGTTTGTTTGTGAGGGAATATTTATTCATTGCATTTCGCTGTATTTGCTTTGCATTATTCTTATCTTTTTCCTCCGCCTCCCTGAGAGGGTTCTCTCCCTAAAGACGACTTAAAACCTTGATTTTGAATAAGCAAACGTTCGGATTAGGTGGTGAGTCAGAGAGACAGGGATCAGGTGGCCCCGCAGACAGGCAGGCCACATGTGCCCCATCATCCGCCCTCGCTGTCTGTGGATGATGGGAGCTGCAGTCCGCCGCCATCTAGACAGGAGCCACACTTTGCCCGCTCCAGACACAAGGAAATACTTCAAGCTCTTCCGACAAGGGTGACTCCCCAGCCTGGATCCCTCGTGAGGTGCCTCGGACTATGTCTCCCCCTAAGGCGCAGCAAGCCAAGCTGGCGTTCTCCGGATGTCCTGTACTACAACTCCCATAAGCTTAGGCATTAAGAGCTTGTCACCCTAAATCTAGTTTCCTTTTAAGACCCTAGAAGGCCAGGAGGGGCCAAGGATCTCTCCCTCTCCTCTCCCCCCCCCCTCGGCTTCCTTCCTTCATTCTAGCCATCATCAGGACCTTCTTTCCTTCCTTCGGCACCCCAGGGACTACATCTCCCATAACCCCACACGCCAAGGTCATGCGAGCCTGTGGGGGGGGGGAAACACACGTCACGATCGGAGGCAAAACTCCGCGGAGCGTGTCGGCCGAGAGAGGCGGCGGCAGGGAAGCCGAAGGCGAAGGGGGGGCAGCCCGAGGAAGCCCCGCTGAGGGTTTGCACCGCGACCCCCACCCTTCAGGCGGCGGGGGTGGGGGGGCAGATTGTCCAGGCTGAGCATTCGAGTTTGGGGGGGGATTTATCTCCCAGGGGAGACAAATACGAATATTGCCTCCATAGGTGGCTGGGCCAATTGGACCCTCCCCCCAGAACTGGGCCATCCACATACTGCTTGCAGTGTAGTATCCGTGGCCATTGTTTGCGCCACGTCAGTCATGGAAACAGCCTGGCTGGGGCTTCCCTGCCTCCCTGTGCTGGCAAGGTCAGCAGAGCAGGGAGGTCAATCTGACATAGGGTTGCCAGGCGTCCAGCAAAAGGAGGACATGTCCTCCTTTTTAGCCTAATGTCCTCTGTCTGGCAGGCAAAGATAAAAACCTTTAAAAATGTCAGGCTTTTGTATATTTTATGTTATAATTTTGGATGGGAGTGGGAGAGGTGGAAGGACACCCCCTACCCCTGTCTTTCCCTGCCCCCCATTACCTGCCACCGGCGCTGGAGCGCAGCCCTCGTCCCCTTCCGCGGCGGCTGCTCGGGGATCCGCCATGCCCATCCAGCCCACGTGGAGCCCAGAAAGGCAGCGCGAGCCGAGCGCCGTTTGCCCGGCCCGGCAGGCAGGCAGGCAGGAGCAAGCGGCGCCCGAGCGCATCGATGGGGAGGCGAGAGCGCCGGGCTGGTCGGAGCGCCGGGAAGTGCCTTTCGGGGGACTCCAACTCCCATACTCCCCAGTCTTGAACTTATGACCCTCTGGGGAGAGGAGGCTGCCTCGTTGGGCTTCTGTCGCCGCCGCTTTCCCCCTGCCTGCGCCAGAGCCTTGTTTGGGCATCTAGATTAGCAACATTGCCTCTGAGCCTGTGCAGAGTGCAAGCGGCCGGGCCGGGATTATTTGTTTTGCTCCCCATCGGAAGCCCCTGTTTGTTCTGCTTCTTTATTACTCCGTGTAACAAACTTTAGGGGAAAATAAAGGTCTCTTAGTTTTTTATTGTGTGTCTATTTCGAGACACACACAGGGAAGTACCCCTCACGGTTCCTTCGCCAAAATGGGTGCATGATCCAGAAGCCACGCTGGGCTTGGCGGAGCCGCAACCTCCTGAGAGCCGAAGGGGCCCCTCTCAAATGCAGCCCCCCCACCCTGCAAGCAAAGTCCCCCCCTCCCGCCCCTTATGCCCGCTGCTCAAAGGGCGACTCAGGTCTGGATTCCAGAAAAGGAGAGTCCCCAGTGACAGCTGCTCTGCCCCCCCCCACTCCAGGCTTCATCTGCTTCCTTCTTTCACTGCTTACTCAGCGCCTGAATAATCCACGCCTCTCCTCGGGCTGGTCAGGCGCTGGCCCCGAGTGGGCTCCCCCTTCTTTCTCGTGGCTACTCTCCCCACGAATTCCCACGGGCCCTCCGCCGCCTGGAGCCGGCTTCTCCGAAGCTGTGGGCTCTGGTGCCCACCCACCCCCGGGAGCTGGCAAAGAAATCCTGGCCGCCCCCAAGAAAGGGCCACGGGGCTGTCTGAGGCCCACCAGAGCAAAATTGTGGAGGGACAAGACGAACATCCCGGATCCACGAGGAAAGTGGACTTTCAGGACAGCTAAAGAGAACAGGACACGGCTCTGCTTTTCCCAGACGGACTCTTTGCCCCACGATGTCCTTTTAGCTAAGAGTGAAAGTGAGAAGAAGAGCAGGGGAGAGAACCACAGAAGTCTAAAGACGTGGCTACTCCTTCCCCCCCTTCCACTGTTTTTCAGCCACGAGGGCCGGATCCACGAGGAAAGTGGACTTTCAGGACAGCTAAAGAGAACAGGACACGGCTCTGCTTTTCCCAGACGGACTCTTTGCCCCACGATGTCCTTTTAGCTAAGAGTGAAAGTGAGAAGAAGAGCAGGGGAGAGAACCACAGAAGTCTAAAGACGTGGCTACTCCTTCCCCCCCTTCCACTGTTTTTCAGCCACGAGGGCTGCGCTCCCTCCCAACGGGGATTTAAGGATCCTTGCTCTAGCCAGTGTTTAGTCTAAAGACGTGGCTACTCCTTCCCCCCCTCCCCCTGTTTTTCAGCCACGAGGGCTGCGCTCCCTCCCAACGGGGATTTAAGGGTCCGTCCCACTTGGCTCTTAAGGATCACAAACCCAGGTTGTTGTTGTGTTTTTTTGCTTCTTTCCTTGCTCTAACAAGCCCAGTGTTTCCAAGGTGCCACGGAAAAAGCCACGTGCCCTGGGGCTCAGCCGGTGAGTGGGAATGGATGGGGCATACTCCCACGGAGGCCCTGGGTCTGTCACTCAGGACCCTGGAAAGGGCCCAAATGCTTTTCTCCAGCTTTCGGGGGCGGGAAGCAGAGAGATGGAAAAAGCCGATTTCTAAACTCTCCCACTCTCGACTCTAAACTGGGTGGCGATTAATCCGGGACTCCCCAAGAAGGAGGAAATCACAGCCCCTCTCTTGTCGAGCTGATTCCTTTGGGAATGTGGTGATGCTTCTCACCAGGAGATTCTTGTCCCAACAGCCCTGCGGAGTAGCTCAGGTCACAAAAAGGGTGCAGCTGGCCTAGGGTGACCTTCAAGAGCAGGGAAGGGATTGGGACCCAGGGCTCCCGAGGGTCCATTTCAAATTGCAAGGCACCCGGAAGGATGGCTTTGCCGACTCAATGGGAAACGGGTGCAGTCCCGGAAAGGGGCACAATTGAGCCCAGACCCCCCCCCCTTTGAGTGCTGGGTTCTCCCAGCCATCAACATCCCCCACCCCTCCAAAAAAACACACACATACACACACACCCTTGCACCTTCTGCCTTGAGCTGGTTTCTGTGGCCCAAAGGCCCTCCTTCCCCGGGAACGCGAGGAGGGGGGGGGAACACGCAAAACAACACAGCGTGTGCTCAGCGCCTCGCAATCTGCTTGGCCCGAAGCTCAAAGGAGAACAGAAGGCGGATTTGTCATGTACCCACAGAAGCCGGGCAGGCGCCAAGAAGGGACCGGTGAGGAAAACACGCACACGCACACAGCCCACAAAAGCAGCCCACGGAAGAGCGGCAGGCTGCAGGGGTGGACAGGGAGTGACCGGGTGGGCGGCAAGATGGGGAGGTGGGGGGCTCGTCCCATATAAGAGGGTCTGCAGGGCACGTGGGACTCCTCCTGCCCCAAGCCCCGGCCTTGAGGAGGCACCAGAATCGAGGGGTGAATTATTAGCCAGAGGTGGGGGAACTTAACCGGGACCCTCCAAAGGCCTGGGGGTCTGCCCAGAGGACTTTGGAGCGGGCCCCCCCAGGAAGGAACACTCTGCCTGAGACTTTGGGGGTACAGCTGCCCCAAACAGACCCGCCAGGTGGTGCTCGCCAGAGTGAAAAGCCAGCCTTCCCCCCCCCTCGCCCGCCAGGGCCAGCACCACTTCTCACCAAGCCCACAAACAGCCAGTCCACCCGAAAGCTTCCCAGGAGCAGCGCTGAGAGCCAAGCGTCAACACCATCCCTTCCAATCCATCCTCCTCCGCTGTTGTCGTACAGCTGCCCCAAACAGACCCGCCAGGTGGTGCTCGCCAGAGTGAAAAGCCAGCCTTCCCCCCCCCTCGCCCGCCAGGGCCAGCACCACTTCTCACCAAGCCCACAAACAGCCAGTCCACCCGAAAGCTTCCCAGGAGCAGCGCTGAGAGCCAAGAGTCAACACCATCCCTTCCAATACATCCTCCTCCTCTGTTGTCTCACCTGCCGGCCTGCTTGCTGGAGAGGGCAAGGAAGCCCCCCCCCCGCCGGCCTTAAAGCAGCCACAGCAGGGGCAGCAGAGACACATCTGGAAAAACCACAACTCCCCTCTCCACACACATACACAGAGAGAGAGAGAGTGTGGGAGGGGCAGGGGGAAACAACCCCCAAGGCACCGCGGTCAGCCTCCATGAGTGGCCCGTGGGCATCATCCTGCAAGGGTGTGTGTGCTTCTGGGGGGGGGGGAAGAGCCTTGTGAGTTCAAGGGTGCTGGAGGAGGGACGGGAAAAACTCTCCACCGCCAGCGGTGAGGCCACGCACCCCTCCTCCTCCACGGGGGGGGGAAGAGTTTCCACCAGGCTCCACAGTGTCCCCTCCGTCTCCCCAGCCCATCCCACTCCACCAGCCGCCGCCCGACCCCCACAGCGTCCCTCCCGGGACAATTGGGGGACGGGGGGGGTGTCCGGCGCCTCCCCAAAGGCCCCGGCCCCGAGGAGGAAGAAAGGAAGGAAGGACCGGGGCGTTCCTTCTTCTACGAGGGGACGGTTCGGAGCTCCGAAATGGGAACCGGAGCGAAGGGGGGGCAGAGGAAGGAGGGGAGCGAGGCAGCCACGCGGAGAAGCGGCGGGTGTTTCGGGAGCAGATGGGAAGCGAGGCAGCGGCAGGAGGAGGAGGAGGAGGAGGAGGGAAAGCTGTCACCGTCGGGATGGGGAGAAGGGCAGGATCGGGGCCTCTCCGCCCGGCTCGGGCCCCAAGCAGTCTTCGGGTGGGGGCTGCGGGGAAGTGCGGGAAACGGGACCCCCGCCTCGTCGCCTTTCCCTGGCGCGGACCGACCCTTGGGCTCTCCGGCTGCTACCTGGACGCCCAAGCGAAGGAGAAGAGCTTCCATGTCCAGGAGCAGTCTCCCTTGGGCCAGTCGCCTCCAGAGCAGCTCTTCCTCTGCCCAACCCCGTGGTTCGCCACACGTTCATACGTTCCCCAGGGGAGCGGGGGGGCGAGGGAGGGACGGGGCAGGGCAGGGCGGAGGCCAGCACCCCCCCCCCGCACAGGAAGTTTGCCTCTCTCCCCCCCACACACACACACCCCACGTGAGGCGCCCGGGGCTCTCCGGACCGGCTCCCACCTGGGAGGGCTCCCAGCTCCAAAGCTCAGAGGAGTTTTGCTCCCCAGCCCCGCCCGGACTACAAGACCCAGGCGAGGGAGGGACGGGGCAGGGCAGGGCGGAGGCCAGCACCCCCCCCCCGCACAGGAAGTTTGCCTCTCTCCCCCCCACACACACACACCCCACGTGAGGCGCCCGGGGCTCTCCGGACCGGCTCCCACCTGGGAGGGCTCCCAGCTCCAAAGCTCAGAGGAGTTTTGCTCCCCAGCCCCGCCCGGACTACAAGACCCAGAATCCCCGTCTGGCAGGAGTGGGAGCGGCGGGGAGGCCAGGCCA